TATATATATATATATATATATATATATATATATATATATATATAGATGTAACAAGCTGAATTGAAAGTTACCTCACGGTTAGTTTTCATTTCCTATGTCCTTTTAAAAGTTAATTTTATAAAACGAAAAATATAGCAAACTTTCTTAATTTCTTAATTTTAATAAAGTAATTGTATAACTTCTTATTTTATCTTTTCTTCCTCCGTTCACCAATAATATTATTTAAAGATTGAAATACACTAACATAATTGATAAAAAAATAAAGTAATCTTAAAATTTACTATAAGTACTTTTGACCTGTAGTACTACGTGTATCCAGATATGGATAAGCACATTGCTGAAGATGTGTGGAAAGGAAACAAAACCGCCACCATGACTAACCCTAGTTAACCCTATCATAGGAAAGAGAAACTCTGTTCGAATAGACAGAATTACCCTTGTAAAAAATTTCAGAGTAACCGCCTCAGTCACACTCTCACACTGTCACTCCAGTTTCCCAGGAGATAAGACAACCCCAGTTCCGAAACCAAATCCAAGGTCTAATTCGTCATTTCACTGACAATAAAAAAAATGTAAAGGACAACCTAACCTGAAAACGGAGACAGCGGAGGAGTAGAACCGGCGGGTGAAACCGGCGCCGATCCACTCTGACTCTGGTATCCAGGTGGCTTTACGATCATGATACTGCGTGTAACTCTCATCGCATCTTCCGGCGAATCCTCACCGTATGATTTCACGCTTCCGCTGTCTGATTCTGATCCACCAAAACCAAAATCACACAACGACAACGCTTTCTCGTTAGCATAAGCAGTTTTTTTTTGTTTTTAATCATTTTAAGATTTAACACATGAAGTATCGCGTGAGTGTGTAAGAAAAATTTCGAAAAGTCATTTCCTGTTGCGATTCACGTTTTCTTTAACAGCTAAAATTAATTCGGGAAGTCGAATGAAGTTCGACGGGCATGCATGCGTACCCTTGCCAGAGTTGGATCGGAAAGCAAAGGTGTTGTGCTTTCGGAGCTTGCCGAGGCCGTTCTCCGGCGGAGGGCCGGCGACAGTGTCATCCCACAAGTGATCGAGTAGCCCCATGAGAGCGGATCAGATGGATCCAGTTAGCAGGTTCCGGGAATAAGCAGGGTGAGAGGAATATTTAACGACGGCGAAGCGTTAAAGGTCCAACAAGTCATGGGCCCAGGAGGAAATCTGCACCGTCGATTTTGTCAGGCACCACGTGGGTGCATATTGCGTGGCTTTTGGATCCAGATTCTGCTAGAGATAAGGTTTCCCGTACTGGTGGGTCCCACAGTTTGTAGGATTAGGATGAGTGGGCGACACGTGACGTTGGATGTGTGTATGAAGGAGGAAACTTTGCGTGACATGTCATTTTCCCGAAGGAGTATGTTCCAAAATGCCCATGACTGTTGTCCAAATCCCAAAGATAAGAACTTCATGAGATAGTTTTATTGCAACTTTTCTTAACAAAATTGTAAGAGAACCCTTTTTACAATTCCTAATAGAATCTTGTTAACTTGCTAAAACTCTCACAGTACAAAATTAAAAAAAAAGAATTACACAGAACATTTCATTCTGTTGTGTGGAAATATATATATATATATTTCTCTCTCTCTATATATATAACATGATTAGTGTCTAATAGAGACAACGAAATCCATTTCTTTGTTATTTGTTTGTGGCTTTGTCTTTTTTGTTAGTTTGTTTTCTTTCTGCTATAATCCCTTCTCTTTGTGTGTCCTATTTCTCTATTATTGTTTTGAAAATTGACATGGGAGATGAGAGAGAGACATTTAGCCACTTGCAAAAAGAGGGTAAAAACAATTGGCTAACTGTGTTTACTTTTCAACATGATAAACTTTCTGAACTTACAATCCTCTCAAGATGACTGGAATGACCAAAAGGGTTCTTATATCTTAATCCTTTCATCAATAACAGTAAGATATAACTTTCCATCAATCGTGGTCAAAGGGATAAACAAGAAGGTTTTAAACTGTAGAAGATAAAAAGGAAAACAGGAAAAAGAGAAAAAAAAGAGAAAAGCACACAGAACATGACACTGTTAAGAATATATTGAATATTAGAATTAGAGAAAATTGTATTAATATTTGAGTTGAGTTAAGGAAGCAGGTAAAGTTGGTGAAGAAGGAAAAGGAAGTAAATGAGGAATGGAATTTTGAAATGGAGGTAGGAGTAGGTATAATAGGGTTATGAGCATTGGGAGTGTGAGTTATGGTTGAAGAGTGAAGGTATAGAAAGTTAGAAAGTGCTCCAGGTGTTTCCTGTCACCACCCGAATTTTTTCTTCCTCGCATAATCCAAAATCTACACTCCAAGACGCAACCTCAAAGGACAATTCGTTACAGTTTCTGCACCACTCCTTACTCACTCTATTTTAAATCACACCTTTTACTCAACACAATTTTTATAACATTCTTTTATAATTAATTACTAAATCACATTTCACTTCTTTTTTCTCTTACAAGTTCAACTTTAGAATTCTTCATTTTTTCTTAGTTCTCAATGCTAACTAACTACTATTTACATTCACATCAATAATCACTTAAAATTAACAACTTTATATAGTTTAACAAAATTAGCTGTGGAGACAAAATAAATGTCACCCCATCAGAAGATAACTACAAGGTAGAACTTAAAGCAATGAAACCATGAATGGTGTTGAAAAACAAGCACCGGTCTATCTCTCTATTGCATCAAATAATTAAATAATTATGAGTTTTGTACAATTGTTTAGTTTAAAAAAAACAACAAACATTAAATGCCTCCGAAACTTTAACTTAAAAATTGGTACTATGTAGAATATGGATCAATTTTTTTTCCTACAATTAAATTATGGATCAACATTTATTCTCTCAAACATGAAATTTATATTTTAAAATTTTTATTAGCTTTCAAATTTATAAATGATTCTTTAAGTCTTTTAATTTATCTTCCAAGTTGAATTATTTTTTTCTCCACTTTTCACTCTTATTCTAATAATGACATGGGGATACATCAAAATAAATCATGCAATCTTTATATCTTTTATCTTCCTCACTTTAAATTGATAGGCATAAGTTGAACTCTTACAATTTCTTTTTTTTTTTGGAGATTAAGGTAATTGGAATGTATTAAACAATATATATTTAATATAAAAAGGAAGTTGACATATAATTTTTGGGACAATTTCTCTATCTTTATTTCTCATATTTTATGAAAGAGTCTAAATACATAAAAATTTCACATATAACTTTAAATTAGAGAGATTAACTCAAAATGATAAATCTAGATTCATTATAACCTTACAATTCCATTTTAATTTTTTTTGCTTAGTGAATGAATCCAGAATTATTAAAAAAAGGACCAAGAAAATATTGTTTAAATTTAGGGGACTACAATTTTAGATTTAACTAACTAAAAAATAATTATAATTTTTGGGATTAATTTTTTTCTGTATGAGAGATTAAAAATTTATTGTAAACATGAATAATTAAAAGATTAATTTTAAATTCAAAGAACTAAAATAAACATTAACCTTAATTCAAAGGATTGAAAATTATTTTAATTAAAAATTTAAAAGAATAATTTTTGTCTTCACTGTATTAATTATGTATATAAATATATTTTTTAAATATTAACTAAATGTACTAGTAGAAACAAATGCACTCTACACATTAGTATCCACTTTTATCTTATATAATAAAAATTAAAAATATTTTTATTATAATTATTAAATTTATAAAAAATATGTTCATAAAAAATAATTATAAAATAAATATTTTTTATAATTTGATCATAAAAAGTTATTTGATTATATATAATTAATTGAGTTTTAAAAAAATTACAAAACTTAAAGAATAAAAACAATAAAATGAATTATATTGAGTTCAAGAAAAGAATCCTTTTATTTATAATTATAAAATAATTAAAATATAAAAACGATACAATTTAAAAATATATATACTTTCTGTGAAAATTAAGTTAGAATTATATAACTATTATTTTTAACAAACAAAAGTTATCTAATTAATTTTAAATAAAAATAGTACTCAATTATTTATTTTATTAAATATAAATAAATAATTTTGTATCCACTAAAAAAAATTAACCCAATTATGTCTTTTATGATAGTATAGATATTATTGCTGTTAAACATCCTCTGTCTGTAGTGTGACCAATAAGAGTGTTGATGGATTAAAATGAACTTTGTATGAAATTAAGAGACTACAATATACATATTTTTTAATTTATAGAACGAAAATAAAAAGTAACCTAATTTTAAAAAAAAAGTAAAAATAAATTCAAGTCCAATTTTATTATATAAAATATTCTTCTTGGATATATTGGTAAGATGCGAGTATTTGAAAAATGAATAATATATAATTACAGTTATCAAAATATTATTTTATTTTCAAATAATAGAAAGTGCATCTATAAAGTAAGCTATATTAATAATCTCCAACCACCGTGTTCAGATTGCACTTTACAAACAGTCTATCCTTTTGCTATAGATATATTTCTCTTTCTCAAGTCATTTAATTTCATTTCTCCTTTCATTTCTCAAAATTAAATAGGTGTGTTGTTTCATTTGATAAAAATGACATAAAGTGTGGAACTTAATTATGAGAAGCCATAGTCATCTGAAAGTAACTTCTTACAGTTTAAGAAATGGATAGGTTGATTATGAACTGTGATGGTGAGATTGAAGTTTTTAGACTATTTTTATTGATTTTTATCTAAGTTATCTCTGTTGTTAAGTGTCAATCAACGTCAATCTGAGTAGAAAAAGAGAAGTTGAGGCGAGTAAATGTAATTATTATGGGTGAAAAAATTTGCTTCCACCATGCGCACAAGGTATGTCTGCAGGTGGGGGCCTAATTCTCTGTTTTGGCGGCACAAACTGTCAACATAACTGACTTACAAATGTGTAATTTATATGAGCATAGTTATTGAATCACAGGGTTTGATGAACCCAGAAAGAAAAGAATAAGATTTACTGAGGCATGCATGATGCATGTCAAATTCAGGGTCAAATCCAAAATAGGATTACACATATTTTCCACAGATAACAGATCCTGCACCACACTCTCCAAAAACAGCTTATTTATGATATTGGCCTAAGTGTATATCAGGAACTTAGAAATCTTGGTACAAGAGTCCAAAATCTCAGACTCTGAATCGGGTTTGGAAATGAGGGGTTGATTACTTGTGTAGGTCATCATAGATATCATGTCACATACTCTACTATTAAAGAATGTCCACTTGAAGACTCAATGTCTTAAACTCACACAGCAACTCTCTGTTTGTCTCTCTCTTTACAACCAGTATATAAATGCACTCCTCCACCTTCTTCACCACTCTCAACTCACTCCTACTGTCATCATGCTTCGCTGTATTCTCCATTGGTGGCTAGGTCCTGTTGGAGAAGCAGGGCACGTGCAACTCACTTTCAGTAGTTCATTTGATTTTGCACGTGCTCCCCTTCTCCAACACGATTTTCCTACCTCCTTCTGCTCCGTCTTTGTGTTTTCTTACTAGGTTCTTGTTCAACCGAGGTTGTCTTCCTGAGTATAGTTGCATGCATGAGATTTTCATCTTATAAGTTGAATATGCTTCACTTTTTTTTCTTTTCTTTTTGTTGCACATGTTTTAGAAACAGCATGATTATCCAGAAACAGAGTTCTGCATGTGATTTTGTGTTCTGCAGGTTGAGATGGAATGTACTTACCAACTGCACATAGAAGAAGAAGAATGAAAAGGAATTGTAATTCATACAAACTTCTCAAGTTAACTGCAGCCAAGGATGACATGTGCTGCTCTGCACTGACCAGCACATACTACACTTCCATTTCTTGGATTCTACTCACAGATCTGCTTCATGGTTATAGCTAGGATAGATTCAGTTTTGGCTATGTAATTTCTTTGTCCTAGTTCAGTAATATGTTATCCCTGGTCAAATTTCAACTGACTGTTGTCTTCTGGTGCTCACTGATCAATGTAATTACCTCTTGGAACTTAACAAAGCTTTATTTATTTTTTTCTTTTCATTGTTCATTGTGCAGAATTCTTAACAAACTCAACACTGTCATGCTTTTCTTAAATATATATATATATATATATATATATATATATATA